AAGTTGATAAATCTTATGACAGACTATTATCAAGACGAACAATCAAAATACTGAATACTTTGGGGATTTTTTTTGTCCAGATTCTGTCACATCAACCTGCTTTACTGTGACCTATGCTAAAGGGAGAATGTGTTCTTATAAGCAGACATCAGAGGATGAGCCCTGCTCCATCACATATCCAACAGGTTAAGTTTCCACAAACGAACACACACACACACACACACACACACACACACACACACTAACTAACTCTCATCCCTATATAAATCAAAGTAACTGATGAAACATTTATTTGGCATCTCCCAACAGAAGTACATGTTCAAAAGACCAAGTTGAAGGACCGTATTATACTGACTTGTAACACCAGCTGTCCTATGGCTGACCCTCATACTGCCTATAGGTGGTACTGGAACAGAGTGTTAAACCGTCACTGTGAGAATCAAGATATTACACTTTTCCAGTCTCATTCTGAGATCTACTCCTGTGCAGTAAAAGGCCATGAAGATCTGCACTCTGGTGAAGATTGTGAGTATAAACCATCTTATGGTATTTTTTAAGCTAATTTGTTCTTAAATTAAATTGTTTAAACACTATGGGGGGTGGACAAAAAACCCCTTACAATAAAATGCAATAGCTCTGATAGAAAAATTCAAGCTGACACTGACTGGCCTCTTATGGCCATTCTTTATGTCGCCCTGAAATCTCAGAAATGGAATTAATTTCGGAAGCTTTCTTTGAGATTTATGTAAGTAAATGAAGCTGTTGCTAAAAGTCTCTAATCTGTATTTCAGGTGCTGAAGATGACAACTGTTTGAGTGTGAATTACGTCAGCAGGAGAATCTGTGCTCTACAAGGCTCTTCGGTGAACATTTCAAGTGAATATTCTTATCGCAACAACCAGCCGCAACCGTCTTGGTATATAAAAAAAAGAAGTAATGAGGATGCCGAGGAGCTGAAAAATGTGGAGTATTATGACATGAAGATTTCTCACATCCTGGGTATCAATAACGTGAAGAAGAATGACTCAGCAGAATACTCATTCAGACTCCAGCAATATTACAAACAATGGGAACAGTCTGATTTGCCTGGAGTGACTTTAGTTGTCACAGGTAGTGCTTTAACTTAATATCTTTCAATAGGGAATTTCTTTCACCCTCTCCATGTAATAACAGCTGTCAGCAGAGTGAACTCATTAATCTTAAACGTCTGTTTTGTGCTTAATCAGATAATACTTGCATCACAGATGAAAATGTTTATGCTTCTTGTATTCCCATGACAGCTGTGCCTCAGACTAATCTATATACATTGCAAGTTACTGTAGAGAGTCCAAAAACGTTTTAATCTACAGTTTTCATAGAATTATGTAGCTTTAACCCTGGATTCATAAAATCCATAATTGTTTTGGCAAATCCAGATCAGTGTTGACATTTTAGACATATTTGATGGACACAAGTACACAACCTGATCCATTGTCCAATTTTAAATTTTAGCATATCAAATTAACTTTTAAAAGTTTGCCTGAACCTTTAGCCCTGTGTAGGAGCCCTGCATTCTGCTTTTTCTATTCATTTATTAAATATCTCATGCATATTGTATGTTCTCTGAAATATCAGACATCTACTTTATCCAGTTGACATACACAAGCTTAAACAATGTCTCTTTTTTGTTAATCTAACCATCTTTCAGGTCTGGAAGTGAAGTTTACTCCTTCTGCAGTGGTGACAGAGGGTCAGAGAGTCACACTGACCTGCAGTACCAGCTGTCCTCTGACTGACGACACAAAATTCATCTGGTACCTGAATGGTCGACCTCTGACCCTGCCAGAGAACCAGAACAAACACCTGGTTCTAGACCCAGTCAGCAGTCAGCATGCAGGAAACTACTCCTGTGCTGTCAAAACCCACAACAACATCAGCTCCCCCATAGAAACTCTCACTGTCAATGGTGAGTATGGCTTTGAGTTTTGACAGTTGTTGGGTGATACCGTTGAAACTGAAGAAAATGTCTCAGGTTTTAAGTACTCTGTTACATGATAATAGCTTGTTGTGACACCTCGTTTAAATAAGGAAAGAAAAGACTCATGAAAAGTAGCAGACACTTCCGTCCTGAGGACTGTGGACATTATGATTTAAGTACAGGGCCAAAACCTACAACATACCTTTCTGTGTCTTCTTTTTTATTGTTTTGAAATATGCTACACTGGTAACTTATATCTCTTATATCAATCTCTCTCCAGTTGTAAAGGAAATAGGAATACTGAATGCAGTAAAATTGGTTTTTTTGTCAACGACCCCACTTGCTGTATTTCTCCTCTACCTGATCATGAGGTAAAAGACTTGAAAGTCTGACATTTCTATTTTTGTACATTCATGTCCTTTATTTAGACTCTTCTTGTTGTCTTAATAGGTATGTTTTTTTAACGTTAGTAATTTATATTATATAGACGAATAAAGTCCAGTAAGAAGAAAACTGCTGCTGAGCCAAGTGACAAAGCACAAACTGGCCAGGTGAGTACAAAACCTGCGACCTAGAAATGACTGTTTGTGTGTATGTTCATGTGCGTGTTCCCTCTGTCATCTACTTTCTCTGCCCTTCAGATGGACCCCCTGTATGACAGCCTCGCACCTGTGGACATGAATCCTGCAGCACAGACAGAAGCAGCAGCAGTGCAGCAGGAAGACACTGTGTAAATATCAGCTTAGAGTTTAGATGTGTGTGATAAAATATCTGTCTTGATCATTTATATTCAAGTTGGCAAGACAAGATCTGAGCACTGCAAAGGCACCTCTTAACTCAGAGTACGTGATTCAGCTAAGCCTGACGACACAAAAAGATATGAACATTTACCCATATATCTGCTTCTTGCCTTAGCAACCGCTGTGGGTTGGCTCTTATCTAATTCACACATCCGTTCATGAAGACCTAATGCATGTTAATAATGCTGATGTTGGTCAGATGCTCTAGATAATTTCCTGGGAAACAAATTTGTTGCATATTGCTGCTGTAATTAAAAAGCAAATCAGCTTTGCATTATAACAGTTTTCATGAAAAGATTACATTTTTTTGTTATATTTTATATGTTTCACTTGCATACTTTTCTTGTTATTGCTTATTAGTAGTATTTTTTTCTTGTTTGTCGAATAATAATGTTTGATATATTTACAGTTGATTGAATTTCATATTATTTTATGTACTGGAGATAACTTTGAACAAGCCTCTTTGCTTTCTTCCTCCCCTACATAACATATCCATTTATTTGCATTACTGTACGTCTTGTACTATGACATTTTAATTGTAATATCTACAATAAAACCAAATTACAACAAACTGATTTCTTAAACTGATTTTTTCCTCCATTACTGTAAACTCACAAAATGTTAGTTTACAGCGGAAGTTAACTTAAGTGCTATTTACCACTGAAGGGCATAAACTTTTGGATTTTCATTATTTTATGTGGGGTTTTTTGTGTTAATTTGTTGCTGTTAATTATCTACATAACACAAGAAGCATGACTGAACATTCTAGTATTAGATGTTTTTATTTCATTCTATGACTAAAAACATTGATTTCCTCACTTGACTGTTACAGGTTGATTTTCTATTGTCTGGTGTGAGGATTATACCTCAATGTTTTTTTTTTATTTCTTGAATGTTAGAGATAAAAATATATATTTTTTGCTTTAGGGAACCCTTCTCATTCTACAGGAGTTGCAAATCTATTCAACAGACACACTGGAACAATTGACATGAATAGCTTCTCAACTTCTGTGGAGCCTAAAACAAAAACATTTAGTAAGCTTTTAAAAATATACATCAGACAAAGTTATTTTGATGGGAACTTTTAATGTGGGAGATTTCCATTCAGTTCATTGGTGGTAATTTCAGTTAGTTAATGTAGGCTAATCCTTTAAACATTAATTGGATGTATTGGTTGTTTATAGACTGACTAACACTGTGCTGACTTTATCTGACTGATCCACTATCCCTCCCTACATTTTTGCAACCCAGTGTTAGGCAATAACTAATTGCTAGTAATAATATTACTGTCCCTAGTAACTAGTAGTGTAACTTATACTAATAAATGTAGGTAATAATATAAGTTACATTATACTTTTATTTTATTATTATATTTTCTCTACTCTTTGCACTATATTTCCCCTGTGCTGCTTGGAACATCAATAAAATGAACATCTTATTTTATCTTTCATTATGTGCTCTCACAATGCACAAAGAGTGTTGACAGAGAACCATTCAGTGCAAGGGGAAGCTTCGTTTTCCTCATCAGAATCAGAATCAGATTTATTGCCAGGTAGGTTTTTACACATACGACGAATTTGTCTTGGTGCATGGTACTTAAAATATACAATCATACAAAAATATACAAATCACACAAAAAAATCACACAAGAGTAAAGTACTTTTTTTTTTAACAAATGTGTTTATTGATGTTTCAAGCTTTACATACTTAAACACATTTACAGATTTTTTTCCTATTAAAAGCTTTAAATTCTTTTGTTCCATATCTGAGTAAAAAAGAAAAAGAAAAAAAAGAGAAACAGCGTAAACAGAGAACCTGTCGGCAAGGTGGTTCCTTATTCTTATGACAGTGCCAGAGGTCCGA